GCACAGAAAGAATCCATGGAGGTTTCAGATGCAATGTCGCTGGAAGGGATCGGATATTCACAACATAATAACGTCGAAGAGGTTATATCTCATAACAAACCAAAAAAGGATGCTAATTTGCATGTTATCCCACAAGGTATACGTTTATATTATTATCGATCTTATTTTTGTGATCTTGCCTTTTGTATTCAACTAACTTTGCTCATTTTTTTGTTACTAAGTTGTCTCACTTTTTATGAATTTGAGAGACTATGTTTGTAACCCTAGAGATATTACAGACATCGAATCAATAAAGTCTACCCCCAAGAATACCCAGTTCGTGGACACTGGAGATGCCTTGTTAGCAACCGACGATTTGAAATGCCTTATAAAAATGATATGTTCTTACATGACAGTGTAAGACCAATTGCACAAAGTTTATAATCAATAATATGAACATTATATAATATCATAAAATATAAATATATTCTAAATGTTGTTTACAGGTGATAAATGCTTACATATATTGCATGCTTGCTCACGACCATCTACAAGACAGAGCGGGTGAAAAGGTACACATTATTAGCACGTTTGTATCTGGCCAGATAAAAGAAGACGGTGAAAGAGACATCGACCCATCAAAATATCGTCGCATCGTGCGTCATGTTAATACTTATTTACAGCAAGATATGGTTAGTTTTTGTCTTGTTATCCATGCATATAATTATGGATTGTTTTTATTTAGTTCATATGTCTAATGATTTATTAATAATTATATCTAATTGTGACTGTGATTTGTATGATATTTACACCAGTTATTCATTCCGATTAACATGTCGGGCTACCATTGGTATCTAGCAGTCGCTAATGCCAAAAAACAAGAGATCCCAGTATTGGACTCACTTGGTGAGAATGTCAAACGCAATGACCTTGCTACTACGGTAACTATCTATTTTTTTACTCATCTTAACATTTGTTTTGTTTGACTTCATCCCTAACATTTTTCATATGATAGTTATGGGGGCTCGAGAAATGGCTGAAATTTGCAGAGCAGAGTCCGGAGTTTATCAGAGGTGATAAGTGGCCCAATCTCAATGTTACAAAATGGACGGTTGAAGAGCAAGTTCAGGAGGCAATACAAACCGATGGGTAAGCAATTGTTAAAATGGTTTGTTTATTTGATTCTCTGTGTGATATTCTAAAGATAATATTATAGCGTATCATGTGAATTGTTTATGCTAAATTATATGGAATATTGGACATCACATGGACTGTCAGACCAATTCACCCAAGTATTTCATTTTTATACATTATCTTGTTATTTTATCTGAAAATATTATATAATTGTTTTGTATACAATTTTTGTAGGAGGATATGAAACATTTCTGTCAAAAATTAGCAGTCATTTTGCTCGATTCAGAGCTTAATAAGCTAAAAGGATGTCCCATATACCATCAACATGTCAACGAAGAAACTTTAGCTAATTCTGATCTTGAGATCCTGGATAATCCTTCTGACGTAGTCGAAGACAAACGTCCTGCCCCAATCACTATCATTCCCACGGTCCAATGTCAAATACTTGCTGACCTCTGCAAGTACATCATGTCGATCGATGATGCCGGGTGTTTGGAGTAAGTATCATGTATCAATATTTAATGTGCGAATGTATATTATTGTTCTTCTTACCATCCAAATTACAGGAAGGTATGAGTCTGGAGCTGCACACCCGATCCAAAGAGCTTAAGTCTTAAGAAACTTCAGTGCATACTTAAGATGGAGCAGCCTATGGACAATGATTGCTTCAACACCGCCGTGCGTATGCTAGCATGTGATGAGGGAGTATTGTTCACAGACCCTCCTATACACTACATGGATCTACGATTTTGTACAAGTTATCGAAACTCTTCATTCTATGTGCCATTAGTATCAACATGTTTTAAAAATATTCTTCTTTTACTTAGTCCATGATGCTAGAGTCAACACGAGGTCAGAAGTTTTGTGAGAAGGAAACTATCCAGACGTTGGCAACATTATTTGATAGCTGGCCTGGGATGGAGAACGACATCTCATCTTGCAATAAGGTAAATAAAATATTTTGTCTATTGTTATCATGGTTTGTTGTTGTTTCTAATAGCTCCACTTGTAGATTTATCTTCCCTATGCATTCACCGACCGATACATCTTGTACGTCATCGACAAAGAGGCACGTCGTTTATATATTATGGATCCTATTCAAACATCACAATCGTCAGAGGATAAAAACTTGAGGCAATCACTGAAATTAAATTTTTTTGCAAGGGATTTCAAACAAGCACTCGAAATAAAGATGCCTGGTTGGAATTATGATATACCTAAATGGCAAGGTTTATTTCCGTTCGGTGTTCCAACGAGTGTAGACGGGTAATGAATTCATAACAAGAATATTTACTTTTGTTATCACTATAATTTTTATATTATTAATTTAAATTTTTGCAGGAATGTGTCTGGCTATTTTATATTTTATTTTATGCTCTGGTGGAACGGTAAAGAATTGGTCAAGCCGATTTGCGCGATGAGTATTGTGCGTTACATGTTTTAAGACCTTCGGCGTGAATTTGTCATACTAACGACATGTGTTGTTTCTGTAGGATGGGTATGAATTGAGGAAGCAATTTTTATTATATACTTGCTAAAACAACGTGGGAATGAAGCTAGAGGAAACTTTCCTAATATTGTTAAAGAATTTCTTAAGCGCATCATCTAGATATTAATAGTTTTGTAATAGATGTTCAGTTGGAACATCACTCAGTTTGTTACATGGACATGTCGTTAATTTTTCTTTTATGTTATCCAATTACATTGCAATAATGGACTTCAGTTATTAAATATTGTTTGTATGTGTGAAATTTAACATATAACTCTGGTAAAATATTTCAAGAGCCCGTGGCAACGCACGGGCACTCTACTAGTGATATGTTGTAACCGTGCATCCTTGTGGCAAATATAGAAAGAGCGCAGCAGCACAATTTGTATTAGCCATAACAAAGTCATCATATTTCCCTTGTTTTTTTTGAGAGAGAGAGAATGCCATCATGACTGCTTTATTAAACTTGTAATAAGGTTACACCGTTTGCAAGGTCAAGAACTAGAAAATCTGGGGGTTCATCGACCCAATTACATGAGCTATTACTATCATAAGCATACTTAGCTAGGCTGTGTGTCACCATATTTGCTTCACGATTACAGTGTAAAAAGTGCACTGAACCAATCATGCCTACTAAGATGAAACATTCCGCATAAATCGCTGAGGCTCCATTCCATATTCTTTCTTGTTAAAAGGAAAAAATTAAGTCATCCTATTTCTCAACCCAGTTTCAGCATCGCCGTCCCAAGAGGGCGCACTCACCATGGCCGTGTTGCCACCCGCGGTCCTAAACGCGCGAGCCGGCTCGGGCGCACTGCCACGGCCGGGCCAGCGGCACAGCTAGCCCGCGCCGCCACAGAAAGCCAGCGTTTCACCACGGCCACGGAACCGGCCGGGCGCGACACTCTTTGATGTCCTAGACCTGCGCGTGCACCAGGCCAGCTTCCTTGACCATGCATGGCACGTATGCAAGCCATTGTCACGTCTACTTGTCTAATCGCGCGCGAACTCTCTTGCAGTTCCAAGTTCCGCGTATATAAATACAAGGAGTACCTGGGTAGGCCGGCACACAACAGGGTCGTGCTCTGCTCGCTGCAATGGCGCTTTCACCCCCCCTGCTCGCCGCCGCCACCGCCACCATGCTCCTCCTCCTCCTCCTCTCCACCTCCAACCCACCATCCACCGCCGCAGCTGCCCTCCAGCATCCTCCACCCCAGTCCCGCCACAGCCCCGCAGAGTACAGCACGTACATAGTGCTCCTGAGGCCACGCCCGGACGGCGCGCACCTCACCATGAGCGAGGAGGCGCGCCGCGAGTGGCACCTATCCTTCCTTCCCGGCGCTTTCACCGACGACGGCAGGCGGCGCCTCGTCAGCTCGTACGGAACGATCTTCTACGGGTTCTGCGCCTTGCTCACAGGGGAGGAGCTCGACGCTGTCTCGAGGATGGCCGGCTTCGGCCGGTCGTTCCTCGCGGGCAACATGTACCCCGTGACAACTCGAACTCCAGAGTTCCTCGGGCTCACCAAGTCCGCCGGCTACGTCTGGGACGACTCCAACTACGGAAAAGGTGTCATCATAGGCGTCGTCGACACTGGAGCACACTGGCAGCACCCCTCCTTCGACGACAGCGGCATGCCCCCGCCGCCGGAAAAATGGCGGGGCGACTGCGACAACTCCTTCGGCTTCCGCTGCAACAACAAGATAATTGGTGCCAAGTCATTCGCCGGCGACGGCTACGGCCCCGACGATGAAGTGGGCCACGGTACGCACGTCGCATCAATTGCCGCCGGGAACTTTGTTCCCAACGCTTCTTACTTCAGAGGCGGCCAGGCCGCCGGGACGGCTGCCGGGACCTCTCCGGCAGCGCACCTTGCGATCTACAGGGTCTGCCGTCCCAGTCCCACGGTGTGCCCCGACTATGCCATCGTCGACGCGTTTGAGGCGGCGGTGAAAGATGGCGTAGACATAATCTCCGTCTCCCTCGGCCAAAAAACAGTGCCCCCAGTACCGGACTACAAGGACCCGGTGACCTTGGCCGCGTTCCGCGCCGTCTCCAGGGGAGTACTCGTCGTGGCTGCTGCGGGCAACAAGGGCCCGTCCCCGTCGACTCTTGTCAACGACGCGCCTTGGTACTTCACCGTCGGCGCCGGCTCCGTCGACCGCCGAATCGTCGCCGACATAGTGCTCGACGACGGCGACATCCTGGAAGGAGAGGCGCTGATTCAGGGGGTCAGCTCCAGTAGGTACTTCCCCCTGTACTGCCCCGACCGGCGATGCTTGGGCGTGAGCACCCAGAACGCGAGTGGGCACATCGTCGTCTGCGACGACTTACCCTCCGGCGTCGCCAAGGATCTGTACAATAAGGCGCGGCGCATGTGGTGTCGGTCTCCGATCAGATGTCGGGACACACGTTGCTGCTGGAGGATGACGGTGTTCCGACGGTTCAGGTGCCCTTCACCACCGGCCAGAAGCTAAGGGAGTACTGCAAGTTTCCGGACGCCGCGGCGCAGGTGTCGTTCCGCGGCACGCTCGTCGACGTTGCTGGGGCACCAATGACGGCCTACTTCTCGAGCCGAGGCCCCAGCTCCAACCCGTCCGTCCTCAAGCCCGACATCCTCGCGCCGGGCCTGAACATCCTCGCCGCCGGGATCGAGACAGAGAGGCCTTTCGTATTCATGTCCGGGACGTCCATGGCCACGCCCCATGTCAGCGGCGTGGCTGCCCTGCTGAAGGGGCTCCACCCCGATTGGTCACCGGCGGCCCTTCGGTCAGCCATTGTGACGACGGCCTCCGCGTACGACAACGTCGGGGATGTCATCCTCGACAAGCAGAAGCAAAGAGCCTCGCTCTTCGACATCGGCGGCGGTCACATCACACCCCAGGCCGCCGCCGACCCCGGCCTCGTCTACGAGATGAACGCCACGGACTACGGCGCGTTCCTGTGCAACGTGCTCGCCGGCCCCCACGATGACATACAAGACCTGATCGGCGATCAGGGGCTGAACTGCTCCACCCTTCCCGCCGGCGTTCAGGGCTTCCAGCTCAACTACCCAAGCATTGTGGTGCCGGCGAACACCACGGTTCAGCGGACGCTCACCAGAGTTGGGCCGGCAGATGGAGGGGAGACGTACTACCTCTTTGTGTACATGAGGGACCCCTCGGTGAAAGTGAACGTCTCGCCCCGGACGCTTGAATTCAGCAATCCCGGCGACAAGCAGATCTTCCTTGTCTCCGGCGAATACCAAGGCAAGAACAAGACGGTTGAAGGCGTTTTGATCTGGAATACTGCCCACCACCAGATCAATACCCGCATGGTCGTCCACATATGAAGATCAACCGTAAGTCCCTCGATTAGATTATTACTAATACTCGGTAAGTATATATATATATATAGACCAATTACCCTGATTGCTTATTCAAAAATGGCCATTTGTATACAGGACAGGAGTTGAAAATAAATCGGTTGCTTGGCAAGGCAGAAGATGATGGACACGGTGGTGGCATCGCTACGAGGGCTTTACGCTGCTAATCTTCACCCATGATCCTAGCTGTTTGTTGGATCTACTACATATTAGTTCTCCCCTGCGTGGGATATGCTCCATGTGTGCTCAAACCACTTATGTTTGTTGGATCTGCTATATTAGTTCTCCCTTGCATGGGATGTGTGTTCAAACATTGTCTGTACGTTTGGTTTGCACTCTGCCTGCCATTATGTATCGAGTAATTTCTCTTTATCGGTGAATTGCATACCATTTATCATAATTGCATATGTGTTTCTTTCTTTCTGGGCCGGAGCTAGCGTACTCGTCTTGCTCATTAGTTTTCTACTGTACATCTTTGATTGCTGCTATACTATGTAAGATGGACAAGACTTGTCACGTATATACACGGCTTCAAAGTTGAAGTTGTTTTTTTGTTGGTACTACTGGCCACCCGGCAATGCTACACATACAAACGATTTACAGGCTTTTACAGGATGGTTAACCTTGATTGGTCAATAGGTGAGCGGGGCGGCCTACCCCCCCTGAAAATTAGGGAGGAAAGGTTTGTGATTGGTTGTTAGATGAAAGGAGCGTGTAAAAGCGTGTAAGTCTTTGTATGTCTAACATTTTTGACTGGCCACCCGACACAATGCTCGTTAAAGTTGAAAAGGCTTACAAAGTTGCCAGGAATTGCATCTTTCTATTAATTAATTTATTATTACCTTTAAATATATGTACTACTGGAAACACAACACCAGCATTGAATCTCTACTTGAGCTGCTACAAGCTTAACTGCTCATGTACCAGACTAAAAAAACGGAATCTACAGCAAGCACAACATGCACTTGCTACACTACTGAAACAAGAACACCAGCTCTCCATGGATTTTGTCATGACACGAGTGCTGCAACTAGTAGCAGAACCAATGAGCACGACTTTCTTGGTTAGTTGGATGCATCAGGCCAGACCACTTGACCTTCAGCTCACTAGCTAGCTACTCAGTGTCGCGCCGAGGAAAGAAATTTGAACTGATTTGCAACTACATCCTTCAAGTTCCAAATCCGCAGCTCCGGGCCCCCAGATCACGATCATCCGCGTGACCTCGCTGTGCTCCAGGCCCCTCCTCGCCGTGCTCTTCTCTGTCGTGTACAAGAGTAGGAGCTCCAGCTCTTCTCTGTCCTGTACAAGATTTTTATCAAACTTAGGCTGTGTTCGGTAGCCCTCCACTCCTCCACTCCGGAGCGGAGCGGGTGGAGCACCATATTAGCAGCTCCCCAAATTAACACTGCATGTTGCTCCGCTCCGGAGCGGAGTTGGAGAGCAGGAGGGAGTCCGAACAGGCTCTTATACTCCAATTTGAGAAACTGAAACATCTACGGAGAAGGATAACACTTTGCAAACTAAAATGCATCAATTACTTGTAGAAATTATACTCAAGTGGAAGATAACACTATCAGTATGTCGTCAGGTGCCAGGAGCCAAAAAAAATATTCAAGTTGTCTCAGGTCAAGCACCACTAAAATGCATCAAGTACTCACAGAAGTTACCACCACCTAAGGGAACCTGAAGATCAACTAAAATGCATCAAGTACTCACAGAAATGCGTTAAGTTTTGCACTGATATTTTGCACAGAAATACTTTATCTAGAATTAATGTTGCTGATCACATATCAATAGTGTTTTGTCACAAGCCTGGAAGTTTAGGATTTTGGAAGATGAATGCTGGGCATGCAGTGTTCAGTGTTAAGTCAGTTTGCAAGCATTGTAAAGAACCTGAAATGATAAGTTTACAAGTACTCCATGCCTTGAGTTACCAGATGCAAAAGTGTAGATGTAATAGACCTGAAATGATACCTTTGGTAACCTGTGTTTGATCACTTGAACTTCCAGGCTAGATGGGTACTCCGGCTTGTTGGATACCTGGAGCGAGGCTTTTCTTTCATTTGCTTTCTGCATCATTTTTATTCTGAATTATAAGCTGATCTCATCACCTAAGACATGCATGTTTTGTTATCTTCTGGTTGTGGAGCATGGTTTCTTCACTTCCTTCGCATGGCTGAGAAGAAACAGATAGTTGGAAGATCTGATTAGTGGGATACGATATTTTTTTTCTTCACAACATTCTATGTATAACTATTGGCGTATACTCAAGATTAATTTCTACTCAAGAAAAATATTTGAGACTACTCACATGGTATTTTACTTGCTCAATCTGAAGTAACGTTCCATGCTTGATCAGTTCTCATTATTTATCTCACTACCTGCTTGATCAATCGAACTAGCCATGCTAAGAAAAAGCTATCCTACATTCCTGCTAAAAAATTCTAGAGTTGATAAGGTGTGCAGTTGCTAGAGTTGATTAATTAGCTGGCATGATCTAGTTGTTAGAGTTGATCAATCAAATTAGCTGGCATGATCTAGTTGCTAGAGTTGATAAGGTGTGCACAAAGAATATTAAGTTTGATGCATGCAGTATGAATTCAGCTGTATGAATTCAAGTTCAGTTAACTAGGAGTAACAGTGATAGTAGAACAAACAATCACTAGTAGAAAAAGGGGTAAATCTGAGACACATTACTGCCGGTTTGATTTTGAGCCGGCACTAATGTGTCCATTAGTGCCGGTTCCAACGGCTAGCCGGCCGCTCTCATTAGTACCGGTTCATGGCGAACCTTTAGCACCGGTTCGTGCCACGAACCGGTACTAAAGAGAGTGGTGGCAGGATGTTGTCAGTCTGGAGCCCGTCCAACACCTTTAGTACCGGTTCGTGACACGAACCGGTACTAAAGGTCGACGTACATAAACCCTTCGTCCACCCGAGTCACTCTGTTCTTCCCCTTTCCCCTCACTTCCTCTGTTCTTCCCCTCTCTTCATCGAGCTCCTCACAAATTTTGCCCAAAATTTGTCAAGATTTGAAGGCCCCCATCCATTCAAATGATCAGAAAGGTTAGCAACTTTGTCCTTTGAACTCTCATTGCTAGATTAGCTCTTGCAATGCTTTGTATAGTGATTAATTTGGGAGGAATTATATTTGCTAGTATTTGATTTATATGCAATTTGAGGTCAAAAATAACACTTAGTTTGCATATGTAGGTGTGGTTTACTTAGTGCCTTCTAAATCTCCGTCGTAACCACCGTCGATCGCCCGCACCGTCCCGTCGCCGGCACCACCTTGTAGTGAGGCTCTTGTTCATGAATGTTTTACATTTACAAATTGATGTTTGTGTGATTTGGATATATAGTTACTCGTATAATCACTAGTAGAAAAGGGGGCAATGGTCCAGGCCAGGTCAGCCCATTAGTCCCGGTTCAATCCAGAACCGGGACCAATGGGGGCATTGGACCCGGTTCGTGAGCCCCGGGGGCCGGCCGGGCCACGTGGGCCATTGGTCCCGGTTCGTCTGGACCTTTTGGTCCCGGTTGGTTGGACGAACCGGGACCAATGCGCCTCGCTCCTGGTCCACCACCATTGGTCCCGGTTGGTGGCTTGAACCGGGACCAAAGGCTGCCCTTTAGTCCCAGTTCAGGCCACCAACCGGGACTAAAGGGTTGGCCCTCGTTGCGGTTAGAGTTTAGTCCCACCTCGCCAACCGAAGGGGAATCATACCGGTTTATAAGCCCCTCCCTCTCTCCCTTTGTTGAGCTCCTCTCAAAATGAAAATAGATGCCCTTATGCAGGAAATTTAATCTAAATTCATATGAATTTCTCTGAAATTAGTAGAAATTTATTATGAATTTAGGTTAAATTTTCTCTATAAGCGCATCTATGCTCATTTCTGAGCAGTTTTTTATATAGTTTTTTTTTCTTTTCTGCTATATTTATTTTTTTCTTTTTATTTCTGAGTTGTAATTAGTCATTAAAAATAAGAGGAGATGCTCATTTTTTAGTTAAGTTAATCACAACTATTTTTTCTATTTATTTCTGAATTGTAACAAGTCATTAAAAATAAGCATCTATGCTCATTTTTTAAGTAAAGTTAATCACAACTATTTTGCTTCTATTTATTTCTGAATTGTAATAAGTCATTAAAAATAAGCATCTATGCTCATTTTTTAAGTAAAGTTAATCACAACTATTTTTGCTTCTATTTATTTTTGAGTAGTTTTTTATATAGTTTTTTTTCTTTTCTGCTATATTTATTTTTTTTCTTTTTATTTCTGAGTTATAATAAGTCATTAAAAATAAGCATCTATGCTCATTTTTTAGTTAAGTTAATCACAACTATTTTTTTTCTATTTATTTCTGAATTGTAATAAGTCATTAAAAATAAGCATCTATGCTCATTTTTTAAGTAAAGTTAATCACAACTATTTTTGCTTCTATTTATTTCTGAGTAGTTTTTTATATAGTTTTTTTCTTTTCTGCTATATTTATTTTTTTCGATTTATTTCTGAATTATAATAAGTATTAAAAATAAGCATCTATGCTCATTTTTTAAGTAAAGTTAATCACAACTATTTTTGCTTCTATTTATTTCTGAATTGTAATAAGACATTAAAAATAAGCATATATGCTCATTTTTTAAGTAAAGTTAATCACAACTATTTTTGCTTCTATTTATTTCTGAGTAGTTTTTTATATAGTTTTTTTTTCTTTTCTGCTATATTTATTTTTTTCTTTTTATTTCTGAGTTGTAATAAATCATTAAAAATAAGCATCTATGCTCATTTTTTAGTTAAGTTAATCATAACTATTTTTTTCTATTTATTTCTGAATTGTAATAAGTCATTAAAAATAAGCATATATGCTCATTTTTTATGTAAAGTTAATCACAACTATTTTTGCTTCTATTTATTTCTGAGTAGTTTTTTATACAGTTTTTTTTCTTATTTCTGAGTTGTAATAA